TTATTTCTTTGTTGTTTAACGCCGCTCTCCTGCATATATATGGCGGAGTTCTGGAAATAATCGAGTCTGGACAAGACAATCCAGAGATCAACATCATGAGCATCGACCTACGCAGTTTGAGACGTGTCAAGCAAGTCAGCGAGCCTGATCTGAACCCCTTAGTTCTCCACTCGAGACAAGCATGGGTTTCTGAAGACCGATTGTAACCCGGATGTTCACGGGTCAAATATCGCTTAATGGGACTGATTTTACACTACACTGAACCTATTATATACATTTTCTCTTTATAGATATTACCCTTTTGGGACTGAAGTCAAAATATAAGCAGCTATATATGGTGGCTGAGCGGAGATTTCGCTTTGAGGACTTAAATCAGCCGTTAAACAGCGATACAGCGATAAACCTAGACGAGAAAGCGATAACACGGAACTTGAAAGCAAAAGTTAATGAATCAACCTGGCTTTCTCGTTTTGTGTTAGCCATTTCTTATCTGGAGCTATTGCTTTCTCGTCTGGAGTTACCGCTTTCCCAAGGCCATAACTGAAGCTGATTCAGGGATGTACCAGTCAGGCCAACATAGCCTGCGGCCGTGTCGAAGGACAGATAACCATGTACGCTCCCCAGAAAACCTAATGAATACGTAACAGGGGGATCATATGCCTTAAGCGCCAACACAAGCAAGACGTTACGTAATGTTTGCATTTAGAAGGTGACAGGAAAAACTCAAAAGACAATGTATATAAAATGTCATTACAGGGCTAGTGGAACGTACCATGTGTTCTTTTCTGAACTGGGACCTTTTGGTTTTGTTGGAATGGTCACTACGGATGGCCAGTATTTCAGATTTGTTTTCTCAAGATATTTGCTTTCATTTTAGACGTATTTTTCAAAACCTCGTGGTTCTTTTCTGAGTTGGCAACAATTCAAGGAAGTCCTTTGTCATTTTAGAATTTACAATCTATTCACTTTCTGTGAATCTAAAGGCCTTCTTTGATTTATTCCTTATTTTACACTATGGCCTTAATGTGGTATTGTTTGACATGTTTTTTGATGAAACAGGTAATGTAATGATGTTCACTTTTATTATTTTAGGCCCTTTCAGTGTAGAGAACTAAAACATTTTTACGAAGGGCAATCAACCATTGTAAGATAGATGGCTGGGGCAGAAGAGACTTGTTCCAATTCCTCTTCTTCAGAGAGTGCACACTTCATCATGCTGAACATAGTGCACACTTCGTGACATCATCACGCTGAACTGGTTCCTCCTGTCTCTCATTTCGCTTTGTTAATGGTTGGACAGCAACCACATGATTTTAAAGTTGTAATCCTATTTGGTAGAGGGGTGGCCATGTGACGTTTTGGTTCGTATTTTCAAGGTTGTGATTGTCAACAATAGAGAAGTGACCTGTGATTGTATGACAAGTTGGTATCGGTCTTTGAATTGTTGTGGAATTTACATCATGAGCTGCCATGTGCATGTTCTGCAACGTGTTCCTAAAATTGAAAAACATTTAAGGAATGATGTTTGGAGGAACGGTGTCAAGAAAATTTAACTTGAATTTTGAAATATTATAACTGATATTTGTCTGTGACTGTTTCTTGTTTTCAATTTAAGGACTATGCTGTTGATTCCTTTGTTTTGAACCTTCACAACAATGTCAAGACCACTAACCGGTTCTCGAGGTTGTGGACCAGCTCCTCAGCAACATATATTGGAGTTCTTTCAAAGTCCGAGAGTATAGCCTGGTAGTACATTTTGGGGCAAAACTCATTAGTTTCAGGGGGCGGTGGGGTAGCCTAGTGGTTAAGGCGTTCGCTCGTCACGCCGAAGACCCGGGTTCGATTCCCCACATGGGTACAATGTGTTAAGCCCATTTCTGGTGTCCCCCGCCGTGATATTGCTGGAATATTGCTAAAAGCGGCGTAAAACCAAACTCACTCACTCACTCATTAGTTTCAGAATAAGGGGCAAGAGATCATTGTGCCTGCGTACAATCCTGAGGCCATGGCTGCAGGTGAGTCTTTGGGAAGATGGAAACAGACTCCATACAGTGACATTGGTGAGAAAACTACCCTTGCTTCTTCTTAGTCATTACGTCCACCTGACATTGCCAAACACAACAGTCGAATCTAAATGACTCTGAATATCCTAGTAGGTTGACATCAGCACGAATATTAAATGGCGGTACAGAGCACAAAGACACCGAGCAATCCTCACTTGTGACCTGACATGAGGTACAGGAGGTCTGTTCTGCTCCTGCATCAAAAAAGGGAGGTAAACAGGACAAACAACCCTCATATGTCGTTGACTTTTCATCTGCGTTCAACACTATCCAGCCACATATCATGATACAGAAACTGTCAGACATGGGCGTTAACTCATACCTCATCAAGTGGATCGAAAACTTTCTTGTGGACAGACAGCAATACGTGAAAGTTAACGGGGCTGTATCGAGTAAACGGACCACCAACACTGGTGCACCACAAGGCTGTGTAATATCTCCTGTTCTTTTCACCCTCCACACTAATGTCGGCAAACTGAACGACACTGATTCTGAAGAACTGTATAAAGAGGACATTAATCATTTGACGACTTGGTGTGCAGAAAACCACTTACTCTTAAATGTCACAAAAACAAAGGAACTGATAATTTACGTTCGGAGTAAACCCACAGAAATGCTTCCAGTGATAATCAACGGTGAATGTGTTGAGACAGTGTCGGAGTATAAGTATCTGAGAACATTCATTGACTCTAAGCTGAACTGAAGCCCTATACAAAAGGGTCAAACAACGTCTTCATCTCATGCGTAAACTGAGATCTTTTAATGTTAACCCATCTGTGATGTCATCTTTTTATATAGCATTTATTCAGAATATTGTAACATTTTCCTTCCATTGTTGGTACAGGTCTCTCTCAGTTCATCTCAAATCTAAAATAGACAAAATTGTTAACACTGCAAGTACAATCGCTGGAGTCAGATTTGAATGTTTATCATCAATACATCCGCATGTTGATCCGACGTGTCTGATCACATCCTTCCTCAGCACAGGTGAGGTAATGTCTAACAAGCGATCTATTGTAGTATGCCTTGAATGTCCGAATTATTCCTGCGTCCATCGGTTGAATATGAGATGTGGTATTTGGTCACATTTCACAAAGTTAGCGTTGTCGAGAAGCAAAATCACTTTAAGTCCACGTGACCGCATCTGTCTGTCAAAGTACATTAACCAATCACAAAACAGCTCACTTGTCATCCACGCCTTTGTATTGTGGTGTCAATCAAAGTGTAAATGTACAGCATCTTCAGTCGGGAGCTTTTAATGTCTAATTAAAACAACAACCTTTAATAGACATTTCTCAAAAGTTAACAAGAGTTCATCTTGTCAACTCCATGACACCGAGTTTTTATTGTTTATGGCCAGTTAAGTAAACATCGCCGGGGGGTGTTGTTATGGTTCGTGAACACGACTTACAGCATCCGGACTGTGAAGCAATTTACTGTTTATTTTACTGGGCCCGGTTGTTCAATACTCGGTTATCTTAACCGCCGGTTAACTCCTAACGGCCGGTTAAATCCTTAACTGGCCGTTAGGTAACCGAACGTTAAATATGCGTTGTTCAAAACACGGTTAGTCATGCCGTTAGCTAACGTCGCCGTCAAAGTTTAACAGTGTGGTTAACGTCACTGGTTAGCTTCCATATATCCCATAGTTCCGTTTTCTGTTTACTTCCGGTTTACCAATAATGGAAACGCAAAATGTCGCCTGCACACCAAGGAAAAAGAGAAGTCGAAATTTCTCTGCTGACGAAGAGAATGTAATCCAGTCAATGGCTGAGGCCAACTCTATAGTTTATCATAGGCATGCGAATGTCGTAGCGTTACGAACGTTTTGTATTGGAACACAAGGTTCCAGCCGTTTGCATAATTTATATTTCAAAGACATATGATCCCAGCTCTGTGTGGGACTTACTTCAATTCCAACAACAGAAAAGACATTTTAATGAAAAACTATAGCACAGCTATAGATAAAATATGATGAATCCATGAAAATAATATTAATATTAGAAGCATGTTGTCCGTGGATAGAAAATGTATAAATATTACACACAGAGTTACGCTTAGACGGCTACAGTCTTAATGAATCTTTGAATTCCCACAAGACCTATCGCTCACTTTTCACTCCTTAAATTGTCATGACTGTATGGCCAAGTCGTGAAGATGCTATCAATATCATTTATTATTTATTTGCCAAGTCTGTCAATAATTGTAATGTATGAACACACATTGCCAAATCTTTTAACATCAAACAATATAGATGTTGTGTAATTAATACCATAGCTTTTATCTGAAATATGCATTCAATACCAATAGAAACTTAATATGTTACTAGCACCACGTGCAAGTAACCAAACTGTAATCATACTATAGGCCCCAGGGACAACACTGCTGAATAAAATCGATCTATTATCCGACCTTACTTTTGACAAGAATCTCATGAATAATACTGTGCAATATCGTCATTATCTGAACGCCTTCACAGACGCATATTCCGGAAAGATGTCTTGAAAAACATGAAGCTGCGTCTAATTTATAGATGAACATAATTTCCTCGATACTCATTAATCAGATGAACCTTCATTTAGTTTAATTCACAAGTGACTGCAGAAAATGCATAATTCTTGTTAATGACTTCACGGTCGGAAAACATATATTATATTTCATAAGTGTATTATAGAACGCTGTAGTAGATAAACATAATTTCCTCGATACTCATTAATCAGGTGAACCTCCATTTAATGCATAGATAGTTCTTTTCAATGTCTTCAAGGACGGAAAACATGTATTATATTTCATAAGTGTATTATAGAACGCTGATACGATTCGGCAGAGAAATAGTATTGTGCCATAGTATTCCTTATATGAACCTATCAGTGTATAACAGTAGCATTCAGATATTGTTATAAAATAAGTTAAAAATTCCAAATATTATCGTGTGATATGACAAGAGATGGTGTTGTGTTCGCTGTGACAAAAAGGTTTCGATATTCAAATATAACATTTAATCAAAGTGACTACGAAGTAGGCCTGCATATCACTCACAACAGAAATAGATACATAATTATGTTTTGTTTATTTTCCTACACATCAGTTGCGAGAGCAATGTTTAAGCTAACTAAGTTTTCATCAATTAATACAACATTTTAAAAGATGATTTGCTTCAATTAAAACATTCGAAGAATGAAAAGAAATTAGGCCTATTGCTGAAATGAATTTAATTAAAATCCATCTATGGGAAGGGATGCCAGACGGACATATCAAAACAAAATCGGATAATTACTTGGAGTATAGACTTTCAAAAATAGCATATTAATTAACAATGATATCATTTTTAATAAAATCACTAATAATTCTGAAACGTTGCCGATAAACCTGGAATCGTGTTCAGATGTTTTCATAAATACACTCACACGAACGCCCAAGTGCACTTTGCGCCCTATTGGATAGTGTTTACAAAATCACGTTTCGCGAAGGCCGGTATTGAAACGCCAATTACATCACTTGTATTTCATATTCAGCGACGACAAATGAATCACTGCATTCTAAGGCTGGGACGGGTACTCGGGTACTCGAATCCGGGTCGGGTACAGCTGGAATCGAGTCCTACTTCTAGGAATCGAGTATCCGGAAAGGGAGAGAGCTCTGTAATGACAAGGGCAGACAATAGCTTGTCTTTTTCATTTTTGACGTAACACACATTTACATCATTGAGTGAGTGAGTGAGTTTAGTTTTACGCCGCACTCAGCAATATTCCAGCTATATGGCGGCGGTCTGTAAATAATCGAGTCTGGACCAGACAATCCGGTGATCAACAACATGAGCATCGATGTGCGCAATTGGGAACCGATGACATGTGTCAACCAAGTCAGCGAGTCTGACCACCCGATCCCGTTAGTCGCCTCTTACGACAAGCATGGGTTACTGAAGATCCATATTCTAACCCGGAAATTCACGGGTTTTTACATCATTGGTATTGTCCGATTAATGGAGCATAGTTTTAATGACTGTAATTTATCTGTGTATGAGCAGTGAGTAGTTAAGTTACAGTAGCAGCAGGAACAAAACGTTCGTTGTTATAACGAGGAATGTAAGTAATGGTGTTACTCTCTATATTGGTTCAACAGACGTAAATTCAATAGCTTGAGGTCAGTTTTAATGTCTTATTACCAACTGTTCAGGTTTTCTATAATAATCTCTGTCAAATCGTGATTGAATATTCAGAAAGTTGACCCGAATGTATTTCTTAATTACATTTCCGGGTACTCAATTCCGATTCGGGTACGTACATGCGGCTACTCGATTCCATTGTTTCCTACTCGTCCCAGCCCTACAGTGAATTCCTCATACATTTTAGCATCTAATTACAACTGGTCTTTTTGGCACCCATACTAAGTGTCTAGATAAAATGAAACGAAAGATATTGGGGGTGGAAACAACTGCTGTGCTCGAAAGACAACACCTGTTTGAAATGTAAACAAAGAAAATTTCAGACTTTACACTGTGTAGCATTTTCTCAAATTTTCAGACACCCATTTGCATGGAAAGAGCATAGTAGCAAGAAATAGGAAATTAAAAATAGATACAATACAGGAATGTGATGTGTTTACACGAAACTGTCAAGTTTCTGTGCTGCGTGACGCCATGACTGACGCAAAATCACGCAGAACGACAACGGTAATAATCGGCATTTCTGGCTTCTTCTCTTTCTTAAAATGGGAGTGTATTTAGCAACTTCTCTGAGGTGAAGGTCGGTAGAATAAGAGTATACACAATCACCATATCCCGCCGATTACACTCAGTATCATAATGTAATCGTTCGGATATTTTTTCATGAAACTAATTTAATTATCTACATGTAGCCTTGTTCAATATCATATCATACGTGGGTATAGGGTGTACGTGTTATATTCTTTGAAAGTGTTTGTTGAATAATATTTACAGAAGAAATCCACACATTTAGTTAAAGCATATATAAACCTTTCCACAAGTGTTAAAAGATGAAACGTAGGCATCATGTACTTGTACAACATGTATTTTAGTTCCTATGATGTGCATAGATACAGTTTCGTATGTAACTCTTCGTCAGAATAATTTCCAATATCGAAGTCCAGTCCACGATACACCCTATCCTTTCTTTGCTGAACTGGCATCATGAAAGCAGTGTTAGCCATGAACGCCATTTGCGAGTTAACTACACTGTTAAAAAGTTAGCGGCGGTCCTTAGGTGTGTTAACTTAACGTCACGTTAACAGCCTGTTAAAAGTTAACAGAGTTTTGAACAACAAGATAACCCCCTGTTATTAGGTAACAGTCGGTTAAATCTACTTAACGGCTGGTTAAAAGATAACCGAGTTTTCAACAACCGGGCCCTGATTGGTTGCAGCTACTTACCGTCCAGTTCCGGAAACCGAATTTCCGGATTATCGAGGCAAATTAAATAGGCTTAGATTGGTAACAAGCTAAAATCGTCTGGGAGCCGAGACATCCGGATTATCGGAGTCCGGACTAACGGGGCTTCACTGTATATGAGCAGAGACCATATATGGTCTCTGATATGAGCAGCAAATCGTGAATCAAGCTGTCAAAATCATATCTGACCGTACTCACTACTTAAATTCGGAATACAACCTCCTCCCTTCAGGCCGCGGCTACAAAGTTCCAGTTGTGAACACTAAGAGAGCGTACAACCTTTATTCCAAGTACCATATCTCTCTTAAACAAATGTGAAGATACCTAAATCAAAGAATTTATGTAAATATGTTTGGTATCCCTCTAATGTGTCAGTAGCTCTGCTGATGTAACACAAATTCCTGAAAAGGCATTAAAGTACTATTCAATTCTATTCTATATCCCTGAAGGACAGAATAAAAAGGTAGTGAGTTAGTTTTACGCTGCTTTTAGCAATATTTCAGCAATATCAGTGCTGCGGAGAAAAGAAATGGGCTTCACACATTGTACCCATGTGGGGAATCGAACCCCAATCTTCAGTGTGATGAGTGAACGCTTTAACCAGTAGGCTACCCCTCCTCCCCTAAAGAAGAAAGAACTAAGACGTGTACCTCCCTAGTTAGTAAAAAAGAGGTGAGGTGAGGTGAAATGGGGTTTAGTGTCGTACTTAAGAATACTTCACTCATATGATGACAGGTGTGTGTATGTGCGGCTGCTTGTACTAGCCCAGACTTAAGCTGGTTTTATAGTGCGAGCTCACTGAGATCCCATGCCGCAGTTGAGCATGAATACCCCACTCAGACACATTATACTGTCTCAGACCAGTCCTTGTTTTACCCATTAATGCCGAGCGCCAGGCAGGGAACAACAAGTACCATATTTTAACTTCTCTTGGGAGTAAGAAAGAACAAACAACAGGTGTAAATAGGACAGGCAATCCGTTTATTTAGTCGATATGAGGAGACACAACATTTGTCTAGCAGGTGAAATGCTAGGAATGGCATTGTAGTCTAGTTGTATACATCCATCTGGAGCTTCATGCCAAGAGACAAAGCATTTGAAACGCTGTAAGGTAGAAATCTGGAATAAATCAACTCTGTAATATAAAGAAACCTCTTGATAGCACTCCCCCCCTCCCCTGCACTAGGTGTGCACACCCCTCCCTCCCTCGCAGACACAATGTGGGTCCAACAACATACACTGCCAGTCATGAAGGTCTCGGATAGACTAACATACACTGCCAGTTGAGCATTACACATACATATTTTGAATCTATTCCCTCTTGAGCATGACTTGTATACTGTTGACGATACTGATAAATCATAAATAGTTTGGATGTGTAAACAAACCGACAAACATAAATACTTTTAATACATAAATTCTTTAATGAATTCCATCAAATAAATACTGAGGTGTTACTGAGATTAACATACTTTTGTGTGTGTACTGAGAATAGAAAAAGTATACATGATCATGTAACACAATTGTTTAGCGTGGCTAATGGATCTGCCGACCATAAATTCAGAAATTCTGAAAACATAAAAAAACACACAAAAAAACAAAAAACAGAACAAAGTTGTATTCAAAACCATGAACTGAAAAGTTTGTATTCACAAAACAGATAATCCATGGGATTTTAACATCATATACATAACTGATATTTTCCCATCATAAATTGTCATGTTCGCTTATCAGCTTACCAATCAAAATTGATATTTAAGATTATAAATAAACACGTGTACAATGGATTATATTTTTTCTATTTTTAAACCTACAGATAACATTTTTCAGTAAAATAATCCTTGAACATAAAGTCTGGCCCAATTGTATCCAGTATACCTTACCAAAAATGGATTACATGTGAGAAATATTTAACTAAAATTTCAACTAAAAATTAAATCAATTTGATTCTGTAAATATTTGTATGTTTAATGTATCCCAGATCCTCATGTACTGCTTCTGTTAGTCTGCATAAGATATAACAATAAGGTGCATATAAGACACTAAAACACTACGTCCCTCGCAACTTGGACTACAGAAGCTTGGATCCATATTGGTGGTTCTCCCAGCCACAGATTCACAATGTTCATATATACAAGGAAGGGTGCACTGAATAGGTTCTGTGGTGCTGCTATGTTAACAAGGAAAGGATAAAAAGAAAGAAAAACAAAGACTTTCTGAACAAAATGCCACAATAGATCTCACAGCACAATTCATGAAATAAGGACATATATATATATATATATATACAAGTTATTATGATCTTATATTCATTTGATAAACAATGATCTTGAAGGTGTATAACAATAATTTTTGAAAGTTTTTGTATATTTAATAACTATGATGACAGTTTTGGTGAACACAATTTTTCTTTGAATGTTCTTGGTTGCATACAGATTATATCAATGTATTCACAAAGAAAAGTCTTGGGCACTGATAGTCAGTCCATGTATATATGATCTATTTCAACTGCTTGTACCATCTGTGAATCATCTGTCATTCATCAAAGTGGTCTATTCTTAAGCCATGGCCTTCTATAGTAACCTACCTGGCAAGAATACATTCCACATATTTATATATCTATTTTGAAGAGAATAAAATGAGTATAACTACTTTTAAAGAGAAAATAAATTATGCCATTGGTATTAGTAAAATAGTAATGGAAGAAAACGTAAATAAAACAGATTTTCAGTATTTTCATTATGCATGATTGTTTCAGTTGTTGCCTTGTTACAATATCTCCCCCAGTCTTAGAAATATATTTTCAAGAAAGGTCCTGAGAACTAATTGAAACCTTATTTTATTAGTCCTTAGAATTGAGTGCTAGTTCTTGCATGAATCAAAAATGTTTACTGTGTTTACAAGTTCTGTCAGCATAAATTTATTCAGTTCCAATATGCAGCCAAGCTGACGGATTTAGAACTGGTTTAGAATTATAGCATTCAAATGTTACTAGTACCGTATATGACCGTCTATAAGCCGAATTTTGAGGACCAAAAAAAGCAGTCTGTAGAAGGGGGTCGTCTTATCCATGGGTTACGCTTTCGTCAATGACAAATACCACCACTGGAGTTGTACTTGTCCCCAAGTACAGGTAGAGAGTGAGTATGGTTTACACCGCTTGAAGCAATATTCCAGCAATATCATGGCGAGGGACACCAGAAATAGGCTTCAAACATTGTACCCATGTTTGGAATCGAATCTGGGTCTTTGGTATGACAATTGAATGCTTTAAGAACTAGTCTACCCCACAGCCCCTCGTTGACTACAGTCTCAGGCTTGTGGACTAGTGCGTGGTAATACGGCTTCTCATGGTAAGTGTCAGCTTCTATGACATACCCAATCAAAACAGTGATAAGTGTCAGCTTCTATGACATACCCAATCATAACAGTGATAAGTGTCAGCTTCTACGACATACCCAATCAACACAGTGATGAGTGTCAGCTTCTATGACATACCCAATCAAAACAGTGATGAGTGAAAATCATTCATCACTCCACAAACTCTACACTTGTAGCAATTTTCCAGATTATCCAAACTGAGAATTAATTTTAGTCATCTGAAAGAATTTTTGTAATATCCAATCAAAATTCAGACATTTTCTAGAAAGAGGCACCTTTTTTTCTGGTAATACATCAAAATTATTACAATGCGGTTACTACTTACAGGATATGTTTTCACTGCCACAAAATACTAAAATAGAAATATGCTGAATTTGTCTCATATTTTGCAAGCAGTTCCTGGATTAAATAACTACAAGTGCTACAACCTTCAGGATTACAGAATGCCCCTGCGTGCTATCATCATTCCAAGGTATATTGTCCACTGGCGAACAAAGCAACCCTAGCCTGTAGTGCAGTGTTAGATCAATAGGTATTTGTCCAACCTACATGTGTCTATATCATGTATATTTCATGCTAGTCATCCCTAGCTACAGATGACCTGATTGCAATACATCCTCATCCCTGCTCCACTATGAGATCCGACCACAATCTGGCGTCAATATCCATCTGTCACTCTCACGTGAAGTAAACACAAACGCACAGCTGTTTCTGAGTTGTGATCATGATAATGCTGTCAGCACTGTTGTCAATAATCAACCTATAGCAATATAACACGCCTGGTTATAAATCCATATTCTGCTATATACTGGAAATTATATTATTAAGCCCAAAAAATTATTTTAAAAATTAATCGTTAGATAAACAATTTGTGTTGCATTTTGTAATATTTTGTTTCTGTTTCATGTTTCAGTTAGTGAATGTGAGAATAAGATGTCCATGACTTTGTCACTGTAGCAAAATCAGATCACACAACATCAGCTGTGAGGATGAAGTAACGATCACAACGTGTACATAGCGTCATCCTCCTAATCAACTTATTCAGCTCCCTACTACAGCAGCAGTAGATCTTTGCCAAATATTACCATCCTTCATCACAACCTTTATCTTACTGCAGCAGCAGCAAAAACAACACATACTTCATCCTTCCTTGATCCGTTTCATCCAAAACGTCAATCTGTCAGGTCGGAAGAGCATCAGAACCTATTTTCGATATTTAGTTCCTCTTAAGTATCACCCAGACAAGATAGCCTCGACTACTCATCACATCCAGATTCTGCAATCACTGCTACAGGAGCAGCAGTAAGGTGTCGTCATCAAGTAAAACCCGATTCTCCCACCGTCAAATACCTCTGGTAACCATAGCAACATATAGTGACAGAGCTACAACTGTCCTGTCGATAAACATTTGAAAGTAGCATGTCTTAAACCACAGCAGCTGATATATTACAGTATATTTCAGATAAATAGGGTCTCATTAGGAAGAAATGATGATTATGCTTATTTTACATAAATTTTGAATCATTGCTTCTGTGTTTTGCAATTATTTATAATACCCAAAATATATATTTAATGCGATATCTCGCAATGACATCTTCATAGCACTATTTGGTGTCAACTTGTCACTATACGTTGACAATGTCATCTTGTCATTCAACTATGTCATGATCAATTACATGTGTCAATCATATCTGTCAATCATGTCAGCCTGGATCGCATTGTTGCCAAGATGAAGCCGAATGCTGCATAGCGAGGGGTCGGGCAGAGATGGGAAATATTGGTCTCAAGGTCATCCACAGCTGATGGCATGACAGCATGTCTATCCATCTGAAATCAACACTTCCTTGTGCACCTTAGACAGGCAAATACCAGGAAACTGACACTCGTAACTCATAACAACTGACCCACTTTCAAAACTCAAAGAACATCCCAACTTCCTTGTCTAAATAAATATTGCAGTAATTTATAGCCAATGTAGAGTAAGTATTTCTGAACTAGAAAACAATCAAAATGTTATTTTGAAATACACTACTCTCAAAATGTAAACATGTAAGAATTCAATGAATCTCTGAATTCATTTCTCATGAATTTACAGTCTCTTTTCTATTAATGGGTGTTGAACGTCTTGAAGGAAACAGCAAACTGATCTGCGGACAATTTGAGAAATTTCTGCCAATTTTGGAACATAGAATGAAATGACATGAGATGCCTTTAGGCTGACTGTCTGAGTATGGTTTTACGCTTTTTTAGCAATATTCCAGCAATATCATGGCGGGGGACACCAGAAATGGGCTTCACAAATTGTACCCATGTGGGGAATCGAACCCGGGCCTTTGGCGTGACGAGCCAAAGCTTTAACCACTAGGCTACCCCACCGCTCCAGATGCCGTTAGGCTTGGAACCAAGACCAAATATTTGATTACACACAAGTAACAACACCTCATACTGAGCAAAGTTTATCTCACAGCCAATAATAAAAATATACTACTCAAATGAAGTTAAGGAACACTCTATCTTATAACTATAATCATTCTCTTCCCACAGAGGTTACTTGTCATATCTTCCTCTGAACCTCTGTTCTAATACGGCCATTATTTCCCGCTTCTCAGAAAAATCCCCTAGCGGCAAAAAATCGCAACACGAGTTATCTCCCTTCTTTCTATCCAATCAGAACATGTGTTACATCGACTTAGATCCAACTTGACTAATGCAAGTAAAAATGGGGCCACAAATATCTCTCTTCTCTGCCGGGGACTTGTGTTGATGTGACACACAAGACATTTAATGGCTAGCTTGTCCGTTGTCAATGAGGGCGATGGAGACGCCATTGATCCGGCATTACATGACTGAGTTCTGTCTAGAAGAAAAGTTTCGCATCGCTCAGGGGAAGAGGTTCTAGTTTTCCCGAAGCATACGGAAATTACTGAGGAATTGCAAATGATCACTTTTGAAACAACGTCGCTGATTGCACAACTAAATCTGATTGCAACCAATCACGAATCTTGAACACTCGCACCATGAAAGGGACGTATTAGAACAGAGGTTCGTAAGAAGACAAGTAACCTCTGTGGGAAGAGAATGAACTATAATAAACTGACAAGTGATGAGAGTTCATACAGTAGGATGAAATATATCAATGTTCTTTACTTTCATTGAGTAGTATGTAATCTTCAAGATGTTTCAATTTCCTTAGTGATAGATTCTAAAGAAAACAAATGTTATTCAAAAATACATCAACAAGTTGTAATGAGGATCTAAAGCGAAATATACATGCCACTGACACCATTATGAAATATACATGCCACTGACACCATTATGAAATTGATCTGTATATAGAGCGACTAAAACCGACTTCTTGGGTAAGTATATAAGAGTAGACTTGGCAGTGAGGACTGGGGCAACAAAATAATATCTGTAACATTACCAGTCCAGTGAATGAACTAGTATACATAATATAACATAAAATCAACCGACAATGACTCACTTTAGCCTTGGCGATATTGACGAGACATTCACAGAATACAGACAGCTTGTGTTAATGTTTATGTTACGGCTTTTTAACTAATTAAAGGGGCAGTCAGACTTGTTTGTTTTAGTGTTATTTGATATGAGGAAAAAGTCCCCAAATCTCACTATTCTGAGCTCAGGCAAAGATTAAGGAATGCTTTTAGCATTACATCATACATACTTTGCAGTCACTAAAATATCTTTACCAAAATTAGTGTGCAAAAAATGGTGTGAAAAAATTAATTTCTGATCTTGCACCTTTAAGTGATTAAAGTGGACCATTGGTGAGATTTCTCTGGTCAGTTGTGGAATGGAAGAATGCTTGAGCGATTAAGGGTGATAAATTTAACAAAAAATCAACAGGTTAACAAACATCACATGCTTTGAGGGAGACTCAAACATAATAAGACATTTTACAATAAGAAATTATCATCTGATCATGAAATCAGCCATCATTTACAGAGAATTGTTTCTGAATAATTACAAGGTTGTCCAAGACAACATAACAGCTTATATGTTCGAGTGTTAAGTTCAAAGAAGTCAAACAATATGACATAAATACTAGTTTCAAGAATTCAATAGTCAAAGCTTTTAAAAGTGTATGAAACATACTTCTGCTTCTGTCTTGGTCTGGGCAAAACTGACAAACACTTCACATAACATAGCTGAGCAAATGATGATAAATCCCTAACGCGTGCACGTCAAGAACATCAACATATCAAGGTATTTTGGTATGAAATTTAAGTAGTACAGTTTGAGAAGCAAATTCTCCTAAGGAACATGGATCAACCCTGATCACTACAAGTACCATACATGTAATTAAATATATACCAAGGCTAAAAGTGAAAACAGTTTGAGTCACTTGCACAACAACTGTCAGAATTCATCACAACCATAGGGGGGAGCTGGTCTTCATATCATCTGTTCTTTAAAAACTGCAAAATCATGCAACCTAATTAGGCCAGACCAATTTTATTTCTTGTTTTACAGATCCGCCTGTGGTAATATTTCATGATTAAGAAAAAAATATAAATTAATTTTCCCTGCTCAAAAAATATAATTCTAATGTTTTTATTGGTCAAAAATGCAAACATACAAGAAATTTTGTTTTTTAGATTGTTTTTTTGCCCTATATACACTTCATTAATTGCCAAAAGCAACATACTTTGAGTATTTAGAAGGAATATTACTTTGACTGGTGTTTTTATTTTCTTCCCTCCTGTCTTTAAGTTTTCTGAGCACAAAAATCTGTAAAACAAGAAATATAATTGGTCTGGCCTTATGCATGATTTCAATCGGCATTAAGAATTTTAGTTATTTCTACTAAGAAATTGAACTACAGAAATGATTTACGCCCATACCAAAGACAAGAACAGAAAAATATTTAAAATTCAAAGCACTACATCTAAAATCTACGACACACATCGCATGGAAACAATAAGCAACATGTCATAGTTGAGAAAATCTTTGATTGAAAACAATCATAAGATCTTATTCAGTTTTGTCAAGTACATTCTTGTAATTGCAGAGTAACAAAATATGACTTTATGCACCTTGGGATCTGTCATAAATGGAACTAAACAAACGCTGCACAGGGCAAATGCAGACACTATAAACAATGATAAATGGCAATCTGTTGGAGACTATTTTCCCCACAACCATATAAATCATAAAACTGTTGTAGATATCAAGATATCAATTTGTTTCATAATACATTCACATCCTTACAAGGTTAATGTTGTATCCTTTAAGTAAGGAACACTTGACAAGCAGCAAAGCTAAATGAAGACATTTTTGATTTTGTAAATAAACAGCATTTTTTAGCCCTGAAAAAAAAAACCATTTTGATTTTGTTAAAATAACCAAACTCTGTTGAGAATTCAACCTCACATAAATGTAAAATTATCTACAAAATACAGGTAAATATAAACAAAATTGCACAAAATATACTGAACACAAAAGAAAATTGTAACAGCTTCAGTTAATTTCATAACAACAAAAAGTCGTTGAAATATCATAAAGCATTGTGGATAGACACCTTTTGAAATAAGTAACAAGTTAAACACTACCTGTAACAAGACATAATCCAGTGGCATTTCTACTCTTCATCAGTTAATGTATCATTCAGACTGAAATGGTCATTGAGGTACATGCACTTCTAATTAATCCTCAATAATATCACAAGCTCTTTGATGAACTTCTTCTAAAGCCACATTTTTCTTGTTCATTTTAACTTGATTTCACAATATTTTCCTTAATTATCACAAACACATTGTGTATGTTCTAAAGGAAATCACATTTGCTTTGATAATTCAAAACTTAATACAGAATATTGATCACAGTAGTGTCGCCCACTTCTTGTATTCTTCAATTAAATGCAATAGCTGTTAGGCAAGAAAACAAAATAAGATTACTACTTTATCCTACATGTGAAACAATTTATCGCTATGCAGTACCACCACTTCCAAAGCATAACCAATCTCAACACCGCTCGGTGTAGCTTGATATACTAAGATTGACATTGTAAGTGTTTGACTAAGGGGTTTGTGGTGTACTTCAGTTATTGTACTGCGTCTATCATGGTAAGAGTTGGCTAAAAGGCAACACTAAATAGCTTGTCTGTTATACACATGTTTGAATCCTGCTGTTCATTGAAATACCAAATTTGGTATTTTCAAAATTCAACTACTGCTAGTGCAATGGTTTCCTCACAAAACTGGCAAATCAGATCTAAGGTTAACACATGAAATGAACACTTTAAATTAGGATGTGTGTGACACCTAAAATAAATAACATTTCTGGCATAATGCACACACTTCATTTGATTTCCTGCAACAAAAGCATGCCTGTTGTCGAAACACGTCTTGTCAATTTCAGTGAGTAAACAATATATATGTGACCAATTGAGACAATTCACTGATCCTCAAATCACCTTCAAAATAGGCTAAAAATCTTACCTTGCCTTAAACTATACAATAATAATAAAAATTCTCATGCACTGATTCCATATCAAATTTATGAAAGTGAACGATTATGACCATGAAATCTACAAGGCGTGCCTATGGGTGTCACTGAAATAGAAAACAGATACCTAGCAATTATCATGCACAAGATGTCAGTAATAAAAGTCAACAAGCAAATTGATCATCATGGGATATTATTTATCTGTTGACAGATCTTGCAATCATAATACTGATGAGAGAAGTATATAACAAACCCACATGGAGTAGATTTTCAACATCTGATCCTTGAATGAAAGGACTGAGTGGTATCTAAGCTGCACATATGAAACTGCCTTGCCAAGAACCCACTGTAAATATAACACTGTCTATCCCAGACCCCACTGTAAATGTAACACTGTCTATCCCAGACCCCACTGTAAATATAACACTGTCTAGCTCAGACCCCACTGTAAATATAACACTGTCTAGTCCAAACTCCATTATAAATATAACACTGTCTAGCCCAAACCCCACTGTAAATATAACACTGCCCAGCCCAGACCCCACTGTAAATATAACACTGTCTAGCCCAGACTCCATTATAAATATAACACTGTCTAGCCCAAACCCCACTGTAAATATAACAGACCCCCCACTGTAAATATAACACTAAACTGTAAATATAACACTGTCTAGTCCAAACTCCATTATAAATACACTGCCCAGCCCAGACCCCACTGTAAATATAGCCCAAACCCCACTGCAAATATAACACTGCCCAGCCCAGACCCCACTGTAAATATAATACTGTCTAGCCCAGACTCCATTATAAATATAACACTGCCTCTAGCCACGACTCCATATTAAACATAAAACTTTCTAAACTCTGTCCCGAAGATAAATATAAAACTGTCACTGTCTCCATGATTTATCAATTGCTAAACCCAATCCTCTGGACAGATGTTGTTCAGTAAAGTGTCTAAACTCTGCAACACATTGTCAACACATCTGACTAAATCATCCTGGTGTCACATAAAACACAAAGAGACAATCCCTCTCGGCCACGCTGCAGATGAGCCACGCTGAATCAGCACCAGGTAAACAGCTCCTGCTGCACAAACTGATGCTGGTGTACCGTGAGATGTCCCAAGCTGATGCTGAAGTCTTGTAGCCTATCATCAGGAATACCTACTACCCAGGCTAGGTAGCGTGTTTCCTCTTTGAATAGTGACTGCATCATGCAGAACATCTGAGATCCATGACAGTTCGTGTTTACCATCAACCACCAAAGACAAAGCCGGTACCAGAGATTGGACTTACCTCCTGTGGACTTGGAGCTGCACAAGCATTATTCGGTGGATGAATTGTAAAAATACAAACAATCCTGGAACAATGTCATCTAAAAATGATCTCAACAGGAAGAATGTTAAGAACATAGTGTTCTTTTACACATATTGTGAGATACTATTCAACCTATGAAGGAGCCTGTTTTTGATTCCATACTTTCTGAACACTATGAGATTCCAATGTCCATAATGCTTAAAGTAAATGTCACCGATCAAATGGCACTATAACCAGAAAACGATAATTATGAAATCCCATTTACAGCCTGTAGGCCCAACATTGTGTCAAACAATGGACTTTGCTTTTGGGAGAGAATTTTAATGATCATGGAAATGTTTTGAGTTGAATTTATTCAAACTTATCAAAGACCAACCCTGATGGTGTGAGTGTTAATATTTCAACCAATATTCCTCGTAACTTGCACTTTACCCTTCCTGCAGTATGATAAAATTAAAATCTTAATTACAGATTTAATACAATACATATATTAAACTTTAATGCTGGCCAATCACAAGGTATTATCATGTCAGACAGGTAGTGTATAGCTTATATTAACCAGTACAGATGGAACGTAAATGATCGGATGTAGACATAAATTTTGGCAAGATTTTTTGTGCATGGACACATATGTTACATATTTTTTTCAAAGATGTTGTTTTGTTACCTGGCTGAATATCATTGAAAACAGAAAGAAAACACAAATACTTAAACCTTGAACATAAAAGTCATATACTGACTAATTTGCATGTGACTTATATACTGTTTGTACAAGAGTACTGTACAGAAATACATCAACGAAGTAGACCCAGGGATGCGCACCTACACACAGAAAGGAAACCTGTCAAAACACTAGGAAAGGTTTTGTCACCAGTGAATACACTAAAGATCATACTTTAACAGATTGAAATAATTGTACACTGTATGCAACTTATAAATGACAAACAATCCTACATAGTCCCTTTTTCTCAGTGTAACTCATCACGTGATGGTATCCCATGAGCCTCAGTTGACAACTGTTTTAGCGAAACTTGCCAGTATCAGGTCACACTCATTTCACATCTGCCAATCATCTTCACAGAAGAGCCAGCCACTAGTGATTGGCAGCAAGGACAGCCACAATGGGCACAGTGGCAGAACACTCTCAATAGTCAAAACTCATGGCGTCCATCTTGTTTTTCTTTCCAATATGGCCGTTGAAGAGAGCAATATTTCTGTTTCTTGTGCTGGTGAGTTACACATTGACCACAAACTCGGGGTTGACGTATGAGAAGCCCTGGAACTCTGTCTGGTCCAGGTTCATGATAAACAACTTGTCTGTGGGCGTCAACTTAGGTGGTTCGGATGTAAATTCACGATCAAAGTTGCTGACATCTTTACGGCTTTTCTGAAAAAGAAACAGAAAATTTAGGTTATCCGATTACTAAAATACACATATATTTCATCTTTTCAAACAAACTTTCATTCCATGTAGATTAACTCAACTGAGACCAGTAACGTTTAAATATTTCTCATGGAATATCTTCAAAGCAATTCAAAGGAAAATATGGAAATATTGGTTACAATACATGTAATACATGTAAATAAAAATATATCAAATCCTCCCTTGAACTCTTCAACAAGCACTTACCTGGCTTTAAAACAGATGACAGACATTTGTTGAGTTACACATGGAGCACTACCACCACACATGTAACACTTGATTAGGTTTCTTGACTTTATACTGAATATATACAATTTTGATAGTAACAAATAAACCAATTTAAATTGAAAAGGAGCCCCGTTAAGTTGGAAGATTCAGGCCTAGAGAAATCTAGACTTGCTTCATTTAGGGCTTTAGCATTACAGGGAAGGCTAGGCAGTAGGGAAAATATTGAGGTTCAGGGACTGTGAGACTAATTCCACGGCTTGATGTAATGTAATGTACTGGCACTAGAGCTCTCTTTATACAAGCAAGCCAGATTACAAACAGTCATCTTCACATAATCAGTGAGTGAGTGAGTCTAGTTTTACACCACACTCAACAATATTCCAGCCATATGGCGGCGGTATGAAAATAATAGAGTCTGTGCCAGACAATCTAGTGATCAAGAGCATGAGCATCAATCTACACAACTGGGATATGATGACACGTGTCAAACAAGTCAGCAATAAATTCTAACCTGGATCTTCATGGATAATCAGTGTCAAGAACATTCAGAAACAATAATCAGGCAAAGCGTCTGCCCTCTACAGTAAAATCAGAGTGTATGGAGGAGAGTTGCAATTGTAAGAGATGAAAGTTATTTCAAAACATGATTTTTCTTAACGTCAGACCCAGATGTGACTGTGCATGGTTGTATGTAATTATTATCATCAATCGTGGCCAGGTGATTAACTCATACTTTAACATAGCTTACGACTGTCGTAGACGATCGCTTTGAGGAACGGGGCCCTGGATTATCACAGCAGGGTACACACAAAATGTGCTTCAGGCCATGTAGGGAATCAAAGGCTGGCATTCAGCGAGACGAGCTAACACTTGATCCAACGCCACTCCCTTCATTTGAAAGGATAGAGTCAGGTGAGGGATGCTGACAAAAGAGATGAAATCCATGTAGACAACTAAGCTGCTGCTCAGCCCACAAGTTGAGAATACTCAAATAAACTACTCAATATAAGTTAAGTACACCCAATTCCTTCATATTACTATAGTCAGTCGTCTTGTGAGTAGTACACAATGAATTGTGAGTAGTTGAGTCCAGACGAAGAGGACAGCATGGTAACTGGATGACCAAATTGTAGTTTCTACATTTTAAATTCCACTGAAAACATCTTCCATACCTCAGAGACTGTCGCCTTCTTTGTGAGTGTGATGATGAATGTATTGCAAAACTTTCAAAACAATGAAAACAAATGGAACGTAATTTGTAACAAAAATGGCTTCTTTAATGAACATATATTTTCATGTACAAAACTTGTTTTATAAAAAAAGATTACAAGAAAACAATGAAAAGGAACATTAGACGAGCACACTGATGTGGAATCAACAAGGAGGCTTGGCAGTGTAATCTACCACCAGGCATGGTTACCTCTGGGATAGTCATTGAGCTATTTCTAATACACTGTGCACAAACGCATTTACTGAGCATGGTTTTATGCCGAACATTCCAGCTTTATCACTGCTGGGGACACAATACTTCAAATGCTGAACCAGTGAGGGGGATCAAACCCAGAATTCTGGTGTGACAACGTTAACCACTAGTCTATGCTGCCATCCTGGGTGTAATGGAATCAAAGAGATGATTCTTGTATAAAACTTTCACTGGCATCAAGCGCAGATGAACAACCGAATCCTAAGCAGCACAATATGACCAATGTTGTACCACAGGATTGGTACCAGTATTTTTGTGCCAGAGGTTGGTACCGAGGGAACCGTACCAGAGTTTGGACAAACTGGCTTGAGACATATCAGCTCTTAAAGTAACTCCCCTATTTTACATCATCAGAGGCACATTCCCACCAATACTGCAAGTCTCACTAATACCACGGTATCTACCTTCACCTTTTCCACAAAACATCCTGAGACCACCTAGTGACAATATTGCTGATACTACAGTCCGTTTGGGTTCAAATGAGTGAGTGAGTGAGTTTAGTTTTACGCCACACTCAGCAATATTCCAGCTATAAGGCGGCGGTCTGTAAATAATCGAGTCTGGACCAGACAATCCAGTGATCAATATCATGAGCATCGATCTGCGCAATTGGGAACCGATGACACCCTGACCACCCGATCCTGTTAGTCGTCTCTTACGACAAGCATGGGTTACTGAAGATCAATATTCTAATCCGTACCTTTACGGGTCGGGTTTGAATGAGACCGATGAATGATTAAAAAACTCAAAATAGGCATGAGTGCACCAAACATACATAAGACACAGATCCTGAAACCTCTGTACCCAACCGGATCTGAAATCTGACGTTTTATGATCGATCACGGAGAAAGTTGTTTAAGAAACTATAAAGTAATATTGTTCACGCTTCACAACGAGGGGTGACAAATGGCTGGTGGAACAGCGTCGTCACGCACTTCAGGTGCAACTCAGGTTTGGCTGTAGCAGTGTTCCACCAGCCATTTGACTTTATAGGTGTGAATCTGGAACAGCTTTTAGCAAGTGCACAATAAATACACATCAATCACTTAATGTCAGACAGTCAGCATCCTGAAGTGGCCATTAACCATTCACACCTCCATCAGGAAGTGCAAAGTATGTCTGGAGTGAGTGAGTGAGTTTAGTTTTACGCAGCACTCAGCAATATTCCAGCTATATGGCAGCTGTCTGTAAATATTCGAGTCTGGACCAGACAATCCAATGATCAACAGCATAAGCATCGATCTGCGCAATTGCGAACCGATGACATGTGTCAACCAAGTCAGCGAGCCTGACCACCCGATCCCGTTAGTCGCCTCTTACAAGCATAGTCGGCTTTTGTGGCAAGCATAGGTTGCTGAAGACCTATTCTACCCCGGATTTTCACGGATCTAGTATGTCTGGAAGAACACCTGCCTATTATCACACAAGTCATGTTCTGTTCAACTTGTCTGACTCTGTACTAAACTTGCTCTAGAATTCCTAATGCTACTCGTAGAGCTGGATATATTTCATCTACGGCCAACACAAGTGTTATCACCGACTTGCAGTACCATTCATATATTTATCGTCCAACTGAATCTGTTGCAGCAGATTGTCCCAACTGGTTATTCTCTGGTGTTTCATATTTACCATATATAATTAGAAAGTCTAAGTTCATCCACAAGGTCTGATTGGTCTGGTTTGACCAATCAGATTGATCAGTTAAACAGTCCAGTGGTCCCAGGTGTATCGGTGAAATAAGGTGAAGACAGCAATACCCTGATGTAACGGAATACTTAATATAACATTCAGCTGGTTGTAAATACCCCATCATATCTACATTTCTTATGCATTCAGTTCGAATTCCTTGCTGGAGGATATCCATATAAACACTGATGACATTAACATAATATACGCCAGAGGATTTAAGAATAACAATCAGTACTCGTGCAGTAAACCTCTCTTTTAAGCAAAGCAAAGATCACCCACATCATACAAAGTGATGTTAGCACAATATCAAGTGAGTGAGCGAGTTTGATTTTACGCCGCTTTTAGCAATATTCCAGCAATATCACGGCAGGGGACACCATAAATGGGCATTACACATTGTATCCATGTGAGGAATCGAACCCAGGTCTTCGGTGTGGTGAGCAAACGCTTTAACCAGTGGGTTAACCCACTGCCCCCTATGACATGAAAGACTCTGAGTTCAAGGTTCATTACAGGTACAAATTCCATCCATAACCCCTGCCTTGAAATTAAAAAAAATATATCATGACCCCTGGCTAAAGTTACGAAAATAATTTCTTAAATATGATGTTGAACAAGCATGTCACAAATGTATAAATTTAGGGTTAGATTTAGGTTAAAATTTGAAGGAAGGGTTATGGGCAGAAATCTTTCCTCATGGTGTATATGAGTGAGTGAGTATGGTATTACCAGTACACCACTTTTAGCAATATTTTAGCACTATCACAGCAGGGAACACGAGAATGGGCTTTCAAAACCAGGCCTTTGACACAATGAAGGAACGGTTTACCCACAAGGCAACACCACTGCTGCTTGAGAAGGTGACGTTTGTACACAAGAGGTCAAATCCTCACCATGAGATGGGCAATAACCTTGTTTGCTTAAAAGAGAGATTTAGGCAGGACATAACATATGAGACAATATGAGTTTCAACATATGAGCAACAAACAGGTCTGTATCTGGTGCCAGGACAAAGACATCGTGACACACATTGTGACAATGTACAAATATCACATCTGCACTCAGGTAATATGTGTGGAGGTAAAGTCAGTCTCTGCTATTCACTTACTATACAAAATTCTTCTTCAAATTAAATCATGATATTTAATATATGTTTCATAATTTATCAATTACTTGGCCATTACTAATCCAACCTATCAATAAAAACAAAAACAAAAAAACAAAAAACAAACAAATTAAAATTAAAATTAAAATTAAAATTAAAATTAAAATTACTACAGATTGGCGTATAGATAGCGAGGCAATTACTAAAATTTCAAACTTAACAAAAAATGACATATTAGTATGTGAGATATTTGGGTCCATAAGTTGAATTTAATCAAGATGTAGACTGATAATTATACTGCGCTTAAGCACAAATCAGAGATGTGAAACATAAAAATTAAAATTTCAGAATTGAGTAAGATCTGAGAAACAAAGTAGAAGACTGAGTGCCTACTGGCCAGGGTCAGTGGTTATTATAATATATTCCACATGACTATGTATCTCATAGGAATACTGTACC